CGTTAAATTTTAATATTTGACATTAGATTGGAATCTCATAAGACTTCCAATATTTTCCGAGTGATTCTAAACATAATTTTACTTTATTTCTAGTAAAAGCTATCTGTTAGAACTCAACGCTCAAATTCATATAATATTTCATTATATTATTCACTTTTAAATTAACATAACACGATAACTGAACGTGTATGTTACAGTTTTATTTTTATTTAAATTATATGAAATTAAGTAAATTCTAACATAGTACATATTTGATCTAGGATTGATGCGAACCATATTTGAAACACGTTCGTTATACGATAACTAAAGAGTTAAATGTAATTACACAACGAATTATTTACATTATTAAAATATATTCATGAACTAAAAAAATGTTATCAACTGCAACAAACTATTTAAAGTATTCAATAAATACCATGATAATCCATATAACATGTTTTTGACAGATAAAATATTAGGTTAATGTAAGAATTTGATAATGAACTATTTAAAATGTTTTTAAAAACATCTTGTATGTGTACTTTGATCTTCCGAATGATAGGAATACTTCAAAGGTGGAAAATTGGGGTATGACCAAGATGCATTGTGTCATTTTTGTAAATACATAGACAAAATAATACACGGGGGTATGATTTTAAAATGAATCAGGGGGCATTTTAGGAATAAAATAATTCTTTTAATTCCCCCAATTATATATATATATATATATATATATATATATATATATATATATATATATATATATCTCACGTCGTCTTCTTCACCGAATCACCCCTCTTCCATGGATCGACCTCAATCACCATCGGTTTCAATCATCGAGTCCGCCGATCTCCCATTAAATCACCATCGTCTCCACCACATTGATATTAGTGCTGTTCATACAGAAAATCGTACACCTGCACAACCATCGCAATTTCCTCCATCTTCAACATCCATAGCCGATTATAAAGTTTTCGCTCTTTTTTCCCGAAGAGTCGACGATTTCATCTCTCTTTGAATCAATCATCTTGATCATGGCCGAAAACGTTGTTCCTGTTATTGCTCAACTAGAGGTTCGTCTTTTCTAATTTTTAATTATTGTTTATTACCGATTTCAGTCTGCATGTTCGATTCATTGTTTCGATTGATCTGTTGTATAAGAAATTAGAACATATCAATTGATAATCGTAACCTAGGGCCAAAGTGAAGCCGATTCATTGAAATTTATTATTAATAAATCAAAATCGAATCATATCTATATTATATTTTTTTCTTTTTTTTATCGCAGGAATACGTATATAACATGCTTAAATTCATCTATGGATGGTACTTTACATTCGTACAAGGCTCTGTATACTTAACACTCATAAGTTTACAAGGATTCACCACAAAGCAAATGGTGAATCCAGGGAAAATGTACGTTAAGCTTTCTGTTGTTCTTATGGGTTCTCATGGATTAACAAAAGGATCCTTGGCTTATCTCAATTATCCTGCTCAACTAATGTTCAAATCAACCAAGGTATCTCAAAGTTTTATATTTTTTTGGATCCAAATTTATTGTTTTAATCTTTTTTAAATGAAATTGTGTATAGGTTTTACCTGTTATGATCATGGGAGCTTTCATTCCTGGTTTGAGAAGAAAGTATCCCCCACGTGAATATTTTTTTGTTGTTCATCTTGTTGTTGGATTGTTCCTCTTCACATTAGCTGATGTCAATAGTTCTCTAAATTTTAGTATTATTGGTGTTGTGATGGTTTCTGGAGCCTTAGTCATTTTTACATTTTATTTTCAGTTCCATTGTTTCTCTGTTTTTTATTTATGTTACTTTTAAAATTTATGTCTTCAGGATGAAGCAGTTGGCTTTGCTTATGTGAGTCAATGTGAAGCTCGCCCCTCTTTGTAAGCAGACATAAAAAATATATATATTAAATTCAATGAATGAAGAAAAAAAAATCAGAATCCAGTGAATTCAATTCCAATGCAACAATAAAATTCTTGAGTAAACTACATTTTTATTTACAGGAAGAGGCTTATTTTACATTACAAGACTTGAAAGGAATCAAGCTCTCTGGAAGCACTTTCAATATCCTCTTTAACCTTAATAAGTTCATGACCTTTGAATCCCGTGACCGCTTTCTCATTCGCCAGGTAAGCCATTCCATCTTTAGTAATATCATCAGGGGTAGAAATGGAAATAACATTTTTTTTGTTAAACAGGAACGTGAGAATCCAACATTGACTGAATGGGATTGGTTTGCACATCGGGAATATATAAGGCTTTCAATGGAGGAAGATGCAGATGATGCATCTAATGGTAGTGGGGATGTATGGGATGAGTCTCTTGAGGCTCCATTTTGATTTCAATTCCAAACACTACAACTCATTCAGGTAAGGTTATTCAAAAAACTACGGAATGGAACTGACATTCCATTACCCACTTTCCACATAACTTCCTTGTTTTTTTTATTTTACTCTATTATTTGAGGTGATTTGGCATGATAGGTCTTATCTTTTATAATCTCTGTAAAGGATTACTAGTGTTAGTTTTGATATGTAATTTCATTTTGCAGCTTAAGTGGGATTAAAACAAAAGCCTGGAATGAGTCCACCTCATGATGCAGACCAGATGATCCAAACCAAAAGATTGTTGTGGAGGATATATTTGATGAATATGGTAGACGACTTATGCTTGTTGACATGGTTAGATAAGAAAATATAGAACAAGCTGGTCAAACTAGATTCAAAGCCAAAATGCAGGTAATTTTCAAGTTGACTAAAACTTTTCATTTGTTCAAAAAGAATTATAAAAAGTTACTAAAAAATTGTTCCTTTTTGATTGATTAATTATTGTTCTTGAATCACATGTAATTCCTCTAAAGTAACCTAGAGGATTAGTGACATTAAGATGTCTGATCGATAAAAATCACATGTAAGTCACATATGAATCACATGTTATTCACATATGAATCACATGTTATTCACATATGAATTACATGTGATTCACATGTAAATCACATGGAATTACATGTGATTCACATGTAAATCACATGTAATTCACATGTAAATCACAAGTGAATCATATATGAATTACATGCGATTCACATGTAAATCACATGTAATTTACATATGAATCACATGCAATTCACATGT